GTATAAATATAATGGTACTGTCTGTTGTCTGTATAAATATAATGGTACTGTCTGTTGTCTGTATAAATATAATGGTACTGTCTGCTGTCTGTATAAATATAATGGTGCTGTCTGCTGTCTGTATAAATATAATGGTGCTGTCTGTTGTCTGTATAAATATAATGGTGCTGTCTGTATAAATATAATGGTGCTGTCTGTATAAATATAATGGTGCTGTCTGCGTAAATATAATGGTGCTGTCTGTTGTATGTTATCCATGTAACTAGTTTGTAGGGTTTGGATGGATCTTCACCAAATTTGGTGTAAAGGTTCCTTGGGTCCATGGGGAGATACATACAAATTTCCACTTTTGCATTTTTTCGTATTGCAGTTTTTCTGGGCGTTTTTTACCACTCCCTCGCCTCCTGTCGATTGATCTTCACCAGATTTGCTGGTGGATATAAAATCACGCATCAAACTAAGTTTTTAAAGTTGTAAACCTTAAATTCTTTTCCAGCCGAGTACCTCGGATACTTAATGTCAAAATAACGATATCAAGTTTGAGGTATTCGGTGCGAATTCCATCCTTATATTACGTCCAAAATAAAATTAGTATTGAAGTGCTATCCTTTAGATAACATAAGCCCATCAGTCTGCAACAACGTAGCCCTCCCCCCATTTTTAGGATCCTGGAGTCGCCACTGGGCTGATGTAATACCACTCTCAGTGTGTCCAGTTACCGAAGGTAAAAGAAGTACCGGATACGCCGTGTCCAGTTGATCAATGAGATGATAAAACTTCAGACTATGGACTAAGTTATTGATACTGTATTTATTAAGGTGGGTCCACGTATTAATTTGGGAAGACATGGCTGGTGAATGTTCTGGAATTTTGCTGCCAACATATTAACTAGGGTCCTATAACCATCGAAATAGTTTTCTTTTATGCGAATAACGATGTCCTATTGAGTGTTAACTTTCGTATTCTGTAAATGAGAATTACTAGTTTTGTCGTTAAACAGTTGTACTTATGTTATTTGTTTAATATTAACTGATATAATCTACATCTTTTATGTGAACGTTCTCCTTCATTGGAGTGATGTTTTAAAACTGATCAAATTATGCTTTTAGCTTATGATTCGTGGAACTGTGTGATTTTAGAATCATGCTATTCGGCTTAACACTTGTTTATTTAGAAGTAGCTTACTATAAACTTGAAAATTAGATGTTCCGTACAATCCTATGAGTTAAGGATTATCTAATCAATTGAAATATTGCCAAATTTTGGTAAACCAACAATGACATCGATATATAATTTCAGTTGTCATATAAACGGGAGATTTCCCGCCCAGATGGATGTTCCAGCGTCACTACGTCAACGTATAATGTACCACCTACTGCCACTACGCCATATTCCTCTTCTGAGCCATTGAATTCTACAAAAGAGAGTTTCTTGACTAAAGAGAGGGAGAAAGAAACGGTATCTTTAAAGGACATGAAAGGCTACGTAGGGTTTGCCAACCTTCCTAATCAAGTGTACAGAAAGGCTGTCAAACGTGGATTTGACTTCACTCTCATGGTAGTAGGTAAGTCGCCCAACCTTCCTAATCAAGTGTACAGAAAGGCTGTCAAACGTGGATTTGACTTCACTCTCATGGTAGTAGGTAAGTCGGCCAACCTTCTTAATCAAGTGTACAGAAGGGATAGAGGGAACAATCCAATAAGATCACAATATATGTATACTTTCTTCTTTGGCAGGTGTGTTAAATGTGTGTGTTAGTGGCTTAAAATTATTGATTGGTTTGTCAATATCCTAGGGTTCAGTTTTTCATGTTACACATGAATATATGAACGAATGAATATCTTGTAATAATATTTTTCGAGAATGATGTTATTGTTACCGAGAAAGATTGATGTTCCTCAGTGCACTGTCATTGATATTGGTGAGGTATCAGCCGGTGCTTCTGTCAACAGTAAAGGTCAATGTCAGCCACGTGCAATTTCAACATTAAATATACTTTGGATCCTATTCCTTGCCAGTACTTACCCGGCTGTGATATACTCTGGATTCGGTTCTCCCCAGTTATTCCCAACTGTACACACCACCCTGGAGCTATCGCAAACAAAAAGATGTATTTGGGATCGATCAATCGTGGTGCCTTCTCCAGTTCTGACTATGGGTCCGTTCGTCGCTGCCTACAGCAACTTTCCTAATTCAAGCTTCTCATTTCTAGTCCATTTCCTAATGTTATCGAGCCAAATGAGTTTTTGTCTGTATCGCTTTTGTCTTTGATTTAATCCTTCAGTATGTCTACCAGTTTTCCCTCAGATCTAATTATTTGCCCGAGTAGAGTAGCCTTTTTATTTTCTATGTGTGTTGAACGGTTGTCTTTTTGTGTTTGCAATTTTTCCTCTTTAGCATTCTTTCCATGTGGTTGATCTTCAGCATTTGTCTACAACACCACTTTTCAAATGCGTCCATTACAACAGACCACGCTTCCACTCCAAAAAGTAAGATTGACAATACGTAACATTTAAGGAGTCTCTTCTTCAGTCCCAGTTTGTCTCTTCTGAACAACTCTTTGGTCATGTATTTGGGAACACTACAATTATTATCCAACACTCAACATTACGTAATGCTCAACGCGAACTGTCCTGAGGACCACATAACTACATACTGTGTAATGTGTTTAACGTATACTGTGAAGTTTGTTTCCTCCAAGTGTAGACGTGGCCTAATTGTATAATTGTTGACTACAACAGTTTTTATGGTATTAACGTCTTGTAGAAGCTACCGAAGTATGATATAATTTGTTATATTTTATCCCAACCGGTCTGAGCTCTGGATTGAACGAAACGCGTCGTCTGCAGCGGATATGTCGAATATAGTGTGGCTGAGTTATACACTTTTCTAACTATTGAAAATCCGTAAATGGGTTAAATTAGGAATGTACTATTAAAAATATATTAGGTCTAACATAATGTCTTGTGATAAATATAATGAATTTTTATTATTTCGGTTTCCATGTTACAACTAATAACTTAAAAGAAAGTAAATAATCGCACATTTTTGCTAACCCTATATTTATATTTGAATAACATTTAAGAAACTTCATATTTCAACATCACATTTTTTTATATGGCAATGTTTCGTAATATGCATGTTATCAAGACACGTCGTAGTGTGTCGTGTGGCCAAAACAACCTGCAGGACACGCTGTATGTTACTAACAGGAGTGATAGTTTAGCAATTTTCCACTTTCTGTAGCTCGGACTGTGGTAATCAAAACTATCACATATTTTGAATGGATGTGCACTACCGGACTCTCACATTTTGATTGAATTCCTTTTTTTTTCTTCGCACAGAAAGTAACGGAAACTATTTGATAGAAAAACATAATTAACTTTCATGGATTTTTTTATCAAATTTGGTAGACTAATAGATCTTTAAAACCTACAATAGGGTGCCAAATGTGGTCTAAATATAAGGCACATGTGCGAAGTTATTCAACAAAAACCGCTCAGTGTTGACCAAAATCTTTGCGCACGTCTACGTAAAAAGTCACGTGAGCTATCGGTCTAAAAGTTTCACTACAGTTTCACATAAGAGTAAAAGTGGACAGTTTTTAGTTGTTGTTGTTTTTTGTTATTGGGATTGAAGACTACTGATTTAGAGCAGCAAAACTATAGAGTGAAAACACGTGAAGATAGATTGGTTAGGCCAGTCAAACTAGATTAGCAGTTTCTAGCTCAAGTTTTCAAAAGAATCATAGGCTGGATGGTTATTATTCATTGTTAACTTTTAAGCACAAATTTGATAAATTTTATGGAATTCTAATTACGAGCGTTTAGCGTCACATGATATTAGTTTAAGCAATTCGCGTAAATAATGATGTTTGACTGCTATACCGATTGCATGGGGGTGATAACAAGAAACTGTTAATCTCGATTCCATGGCGTTACTATAAAAAAAGTTATTAACACCGTTTCAGAGAGGAAGACTACCAACATATATATTTTAAAGAATATAGATGGTTATGTAAAGTATAGGTCTGTTCCGAATAATAGGGTTGTGATACTAAAGCTAATGTTGGGTATTATCGTGTGGCACTTTCTTCCTTGCTGTGATTTGTTGGTGTGTATTGACACAAAGTCATGATATCTAATCAAAACCACCTTAGATGTGAAACAAAAAAAAAGTTCTGCCAAAAAGGGATTGAGAGTGCGACTTAAAGGAATCAAATCTAAATTGGCGACAAATCGGGTAGCTATTCTTGCAGCATTAACAATTTTACAGCAAATATTCATTCATTCATAAACTATAAGTGTAGCTACCAGTTTGGTCGCCAATTTTGATTTCATTCCTGTAAGTCGCACTCTCAATTGCACCTTTTTTTTACACCTAAGATGTTGTTGATTACATATATATTTGCTGAAGTAGAACTTACAATATTCTAAGTGATGTTGAAAGCTTGGTTTTCATCATAATTTATTGTTTAATGTTTAGTGATTTCTCTGATTCATAGCAATTCCATTAAGTCTCACTTTGACAATTCTCTTTTATTATATATTAATTTGCTGTCGTAGCTATTTATTGAAAACTGATTTTCTGAAGTTTTTATACAGTATTCATCAATAAATTTCGTAAACAAAAGATCAAATCTCTGAATATTTCACCAATTGCAAGAGTGCCAGAAAGTGGTCAAATCTTCCGCCGTTCTGAAGCACACGTCTGGGTTTTGCTTTTGGAGTATCATTTTAGTTAAATCGTTTACATCTATAAGGGGAAGTAAATCATCTTATACTTTACTTACTTTTTCCATATGTTACAAGAGACAAATGATCTTTACATGTAGATCCCAAGGATAACTGTATCACTTTAGTTAAATCGTTTACTTCTATAAGGGGAAGTAAATCATCTTATACTTTATTTACTTTTTCCATATGTTACAAGAGACAAATGATCTTTACATGTAGATGCCAAGGATAACTGTAATGTAAAGATCATTTGTCTCTTGTAACATATGGAAAAAGTAAATAAAGTATAAGATGATTTAGTTCCCCTTATAGATGTAAACGATTTAACTAAAGTGAGTAAATGCCAAGAATAACTGTATCACTTTAGTTAAATCGTTTACATCTATAAGGGGAACTAAATCATCTTATACTTTATTTACTTTTTCCATATGTTACAAGAGACAAATGATCTTTACATGTAAATGCCAAGGATAACGTTCTGTACGGAAATTAACCACTAGACGTGACTAGTACTAGCTATCGTAGATGTTAGATATACAGGACTGCTCATATTAAGTTTAATACGACGGTATTATTTAGTTTATATTGTGCGACTGTTAAAGTAAGTATTGTTAGAAGCGATAGTTATGGCAAGTTTGCGTTTGTATGTGTTTACGAATCACTTGTTGTGTAATTCAATTGTAGTGAATTGATGTTGCTCGAACCTTCTAAATTTTTCTCCTTTGGTGAGCATTGTTACATCATAATGTCTCGTAGTTTGTAGAAAGTTCTAGGCGTCAGTCGAGCGATTTCTAAAATGAGTTTCACGGCTTGTCTTGTAATAACAGGGGTACGGGAGAATAATTTGTCTTGTCAAAGAGTGTTTTAAAGTAATTGAACCCCCCTGTGTGAACTTGGACGAAAAGGAGACAGATATTTAGAGATCTGGATACAACTGTGATAACCAATAGTGTAACTAATTTTTATACGTAAGCTTGACTTGTTTTGAATATATTTTAAAACGAGTGGCTTGTGTGCTGTCCGTTTATTGTTTACATTTATCGCCAACAAGTCGCAGACACCTACTGTAAAGAATACGGCTTCCCGTAAAACCGACCGTAGACAACCATCTGCACTCTTAATACCAGCTGTCATAGATAACCAAGTAAGCTTGATCCAAATCATAGCCTGCACGTTACGTTTACTGTTTGGTAGTTTCTTTTTATACAATGTAGATGTGATCCAGTTCATAGCTTGCACGTTACGCTTACTGTTTGTTAGTTTCTTGTTACACTAAGTAGCCATGTTTTGACCCAGTTCATAGCTTGCACGTTACGTTTACCGTTTAATAGTTTCTTTCTTCAGCTACGTCTTTGACTGTATGAACAGTGCTGTTATTGTTGTAAATATTTAAGCAAAAAAATAATTCCGAATCGAATTAAGTTATAGTAAATTATATCCTAACATAATGTATGATTGTTCTTAATCTTGTTTTTACCATTCTTCTTCGTTTTTGTTTATTGACGTCATATAGATATAATATATCAAACCTATCTTCATTTAAGTGATAATAAACCTGTGTGTGTTTGAATGTGTCTGAAGGTGTTGTTGTACTGACAAATATGGCAGTTTTACACCAATTTCAAATGTTAACATCGTTACCGATGGGGCGGGGGGGGGATTCCAATGACGTGTGTAATACGTCTTACTGATGTTCCGGGATGGTGTTGTACGACGAACAACAACACGTGGTATCCATTTCAAGTTATCTAGAACTTATAAATGCATTCTCGGATACGTTTTTATGACACGTAACTCGGATGATGTAATGCTGTTCTTTATGAGTTTA